AGGAAGGAAGGAAGGAAAGAAAATGGAAATCAGTACTACTAAAATTGGTTTATATTTTTCATTGTTTAACAAAGCACCTTTTAACATAAAAATAGTGTAATTGTGCTAGTCCCAAGGTCATTGTAGGATTTGTAAGGTAACTGGGACTCGGAGTGCCCTAGAATTCATGTGATCCCCTCCGTGCACCCCTGTGGCTGCAGGGCTTATTTGGAGGTAGCTTGTAACTTCTGAAGCCCTTCGTGAGTTACCAGAATGTGTGACTTGAACCGCGTGGCCCTCCTGGCTTCCCTGTGGTAGTCGCTGCCACAGAGAAAGGGAAAAGTCCTTCTATGTCCAGGCAAGATTCCCACAAGCCAACAGGCCCCTCCATCCATGTCCTTTATAGAAAGGAAACATAAGCCTTTCAGACCAACACCAGCTGATTTCAAAAGTCAAAAAAACTAAAAAAAAAAAATTCTCCCTGTCCCAAAAGCAAGAAGGATAAGGAAGCAAACATTACAGAGGACCTAAATGACTGAGCCATTATATGTATATTATTTCATTGCTCTCACAACCGCCCTGGGATGGTGTAAGCATTATTTAACCTGTTTGTGTATCAGTTACATTATTTGTCCAAGGTCACATAGCATACCCAAGATTAGAACCCAGAACCATTGACTTTCCAGCTTTCAAGTCTGACCATGCCACGAAGCCACATGAAGCCTAAGAGGAGCCCAGGAAGCCTAGATGGGGGCCTGGGGCAGCCCTTCCCCTTGGTGCCCCCCATGGGGGCACACTTTGACCTTTCTGGATCTTTTCACTGTTTCCTTCTCTTCCTGTTCCTTCTCCTGGCTGGCTTGCCCCCCACCCCAATCTGCTCCTTGCTTATGATACTTATTTTTCCATCCACAGCAAAGCAATTCACATCAAGGTAATTGATGATGAGGCGTATGAGAAAAACAAGAATTACTTCATTGAGATGGTGGGCCCCCGCATGGTGGATATGAGTTTTCAGAAAGGTGTAGTACCCTGTCCTACCCAATAATGTTAACATTCTTCTCTCCTCTCTTCTTCTGGTTCTGTTTGTCTTCTCTTCCCCTTTCTTCTGCCACTCTAGTCCACGTCCCCTTGTTTTCTTTCTTGTTCTCTCATTTCCTTTCTTTCCACCTCTCCCTCTCCTCTCTCTGATCCCAGCTCTGCCCTAACACCTGCCAGCCTGTCACATGGTATCCATAAGAGGGATGTTCAAGAGTCAATGCTAATTTCTGTGGGATGGAGAAATGGATATGGGAAAAACACAGGGTAGGGGGGAGAGAGAGAGAGAGAGAGAGTCAGCCAGAGCCCAGAGTATCGTATATGGGTTCTCTGCTTCTCCTGGACGGCTTCATATACAGGAAAGAAAAAGATCACACAGCACAGTGCCAGGCAGGAGGGCGGCACTGGGAAACTGGCTTAGGTGCTCAGTACAGACTCCCATGGGGCAGGTATTCTCAGGGCTAAGCTTAGAGTCCCCAGACATTGGCAATCAATGTATTTGGATTTGGGTTCTATTTATGGTTCATCCCATTCCCCAGAGCAGGCCTGAGGAGCCCTCTTTTCTGCCATATTCCTGCTATCAAGGTGTGTTTCTCTTCTGACCTTGATTGAGCTGAAAGTACAGGTTTGAGTTTGAGGTCTAGGTCACAGACCTACCTGCTGGACTCTGTTTTCCCTGTAAAGAACATCTAGGTGTGGTGGCAGAGGGTTAGAATGGTGGGAGAAGGGCTTCTGAGTTGAGTGGAGGCTTTCCCACGAGATCACAGGATTTCTCAGAGCAGATGGAGCCTTTGCCTTCAACTTAAATGACCCACACACCCCAGACTTCCGATAGGCAAGTCAGAACATTCTCTTCTGGACAGACCACTATGTCGAGGGGAGCCGCTAGTATTCGGGGGCAACGTTCCTTCCCTGGCAGGGCCATCAATCAGGTCCCTCCAGCCAGGCCCTTGGTCACAGGGCACCCATTCCTAACCCACAGGAGAGTCCCTGCAGGAGAAAAACTACCAGGCTCACAGCTCCTGGGTAGCCCCAGGTTCCCATATCTAGGGCCTAGAGAGAAGTTCCTAGAAAATTCTTCTTCTT